CTAGCCTACACACTTGAAGTGTAATGCTAGTATTATATAAATAAGCATTTGTACAATATAAAGAGAAATAAAGCCTTGTGGTGGATTAAATTACATGTCTTATCAATCTGACAGTCTAGTAATAAATAAAAAATTTTCATGTGCGTCTTAAAAAAATATAACTATAATATATGACTCACATTATAGTGAAATTATATGTGAATCCTAGAAGGATTCAAATTCTTGTATAAATTCAAACGATCTAATATATGAAGAGATCTAGATCATAATGTATGAAAATCCTTGAAGGATTTGAGTTTTCAAAAGCATACAATTATGTTCTCAAGAACATTATTCAATTAAGTCTTTATATGAGGCATATGTGATTAATATCAACCGAAGGAATGATGTAAACACATTCCAACTTGTCTATTTATGAAAAAATTCAAAATGAGTTTGTTATCAGTACTATTTATGATAATAGTATCAAAATTTCTGATAAGTTTTCAAAAGCTGTGAATTACTTAAAGAAAAAATTTGAAATAAAAGCTTTCGGAAGAATACATATGGATAAGTCACATTCATTATATGGATAAGCAACATCCATTATATATTTTGGTAGTTGCAAGATGTTTAGATATGGACTAAAAGATCGATTTAGACCTCCAGAAAGTAATGAATAAACACTTGGTCCAGAAGTATCATATTTTAGTGTCACTGAAGCATTTATATATCTATCTAGCTATATAGAATTTGAGCTATCATTTGCTGAATAGCATAATATAGTTCTTTATCAACATAAAGATGTTGGAATGAAGTTAAAAATATTCTTCATTACTTTAAGGATACCGTGGAGGTAATATTATTTTATTTAAAAGTATCCAAGACTAATCTTAATGGCTATATAGATAAAATATTCTTGTTTGATCCTCATGTCAAGAGATCATAGTATGATCCACATGTGGGTAAACAATAAAAGGACTATTCGTCTCATGATTTTCAGAAGATCATGAAATTCATATTTGACATTTATATCTCATTATAATATTTGAAAGGGTTGTTCACTATATTAGACTTTGCAGGCTCGAAGATATCAACTAATGTTACTAAAAGGGGGAGTTGATACACGATGTACTCTTTTTTCCTTATATATGGTTTTGTCCCACTAGTTTTTCCTAGCAAGACTTTAAATGAGGCAATATTGTATAGTGTATCAATGACTGATGTACTCTTTTTCTTTTGCTAGGTTTTTGTCCCATAGGGTTTTTCCTAGTTGAAGTTTTTTTTTAACGAGGCACATTCATATATATCGAACATCCAAGGAAGAGTGTTATGAACATAATAATATCTTTGTGGATGTCCATATATCTCCCATTATCTCCTATATCTCCTATAATCTCTAATATCTCCCATTATCTCTATATCCCACAATTATATCATATTATTATATAATCTATAAATTCTATCAAAGGTGTAAAGCTGTGCCTATAAATATAAGCCATATATAATGTATTGAGCACACTTGAATGGAATGAGAAATATTCTCTCTTGTTAATCCTCTCTTCCTCTGTATGATTCTTCTCTCTATTTCTTCTTTATTCATAACAGATATAAAATAATATATGTAAATAGTTTATCATCTCTCTTCTGCTATACTCTCTAGTTACATTTTCCCATATACTTTTTTTTACATTTTCTCATTTAAAGAGCATATTTGAAATCCAAAATATATTTATAATCTATTTATTATTTTCAATTAATTTTAACTAATTTTTTATTATCCACAAATTAGTTATTTATCGCTTATAATAAAAATTACAGAGAGTGGTAAATTTTTAAAAGGTGAGACCTAACTATTTTCTAAATAAGCTACTTTGTAAAAATAGAGTTGTTTAAATTATAATAGAAATAATAAATTTAATTGTAAAATAACTGAAGATGAATTTTATTATAAGAGCATAGTTGAAATCTAAAATATATTTATAACCTATTTATTACTTTCAATTAATTTTAACTAATTTTTTGTTATCTACAAATTAGTTATTTATCGCTTATAACAAAAATTAAAGAGAGTAGTAAATTTCTTAGAAATGTGACCTAAGTATCTAAATATGCTAATTTGTAAAAATAGAGTTGTTTTTAATTGTAAAATAACTGAAGATGAATTTTATTAAATATGTATCATTTAATAATAGAAAATAACTGAAATGCAGAGTGCTAATTCCGCAGCACATTGTCACTTTGATAACATAAATAAGTGACTCTATAAATATGGATAAAAACAATCAAAGCACTCCTAGTCCCACATTCTCTCTCTCTTCCAAGTTATTAAACATGAGAGTCTGTTTGGATTAGCGATTTATTGTTAATTTGGCTTATGGAAAAGTAAAGTTAGGTAAAAGTTAAATTGGATAAGTTGAATTGTGTTTAGATTGGAGATTCAAAGAAGTTAATTTGCACAACTGATGTTGGTAAAAAGTTATTTGGATTATAATTGAATAAAAGTAAGTCTAGTTGTAAAATGACTAAAATGGGTATGAATTTTAATAAATAATAAAACGTGATTAAAAAAATAATTTTACATAATATAATGAATTTAAAATAATTTAATATGAAGAAGTGTAATTTAATGATTGAATATATGAAGAATGGGAAAAAATTATTACAAAAAGCAACTGAAGAATAAGCTTCCTCCTATTTAAACACATGTATATATAAACACAGCAAAGTGATTTATATTTGAAAATACGTTGGCAACAAATGGGCCTCAACCGAAAGGAAAAGGTGGTCTAAAATGTTACTTCTTGTTATTATTATTACTCTCACCAACATTTGTTTGTTTTTAATCACCCATATATATGTGTGTGTGTGTATTATGCAGGAAGGATGGTAGTGTGTGTCACTTTCGCACTGGTGAAGTTGTCGCATTGGGGTGAGTACAAGCCCACAGGTGGAAATAAGCTCTTTAGATTTCAAAATAAGCTCCCTCTTCTGGTTTATTCCTAACATATATCATCTTAAACTTTAATAAACCCAATATAAGATAAGTCCTCCCAAACAACACTAAAAAATTCAATCTGGCTTATCTTGAATTTAAGTCACGTTTGGACTAACAAACGCTGACCCAAACAAGCACTGAAAAGGCAAAAATAGAACCTAAGATACTTTTACTAATCGCATGATTTAAATAGCTTTTGACCCATAAGTTAAATGAGCCAAAAACTGGTCCAAACAAAAAAGAAATTGTCCCAATGTGCTTGCAAAAAATAAGCTACTTATAAGTGGGTTGAACACCAATCCTAATAGAACCTAAATATATTAGAAGAGCTTTGTCTTAATTTACATAAAAGTATTTTTTAAAAATGTTTTCTTAGGTAAACCAGATACCCCTTAATGATGAAATTTACAGTGCTGGCTCTTTTCTTCATTAAGCATTGACAAAAAAAAAAGTCTTATTTTTTACCAGGATAATATATCATATAAAATGTCTCAATATTATTTATAATTTGTTCTATATCAAATGTCTTATTATTAATTGGATCGATGTTGATTTGGTTTGTTAGATGGAATTAGCATTGATTTTAATCTATGCTCTATTTTCTTTTAACAACCAGTATTAAAGCCCTTTCAGAACATTTAGGATGTGAGTTGATCAATTATCAGCCGTAAATACTCTAAGCTCAACAAAAAAAAGTGAAGTTTTAACAATGCTTTGTCTCTTTTTTCCAACTTAATTTTCTAATTTTATTTGCTCAAAAAAACTCTAATAAAAAGCATATTATGATTAATGAGATAACATGTGAAATTAATAAAATCATCTTTTAAAATGTATATAAAAACATTTAGAAGAAGGAGTAAATCTAAATAAAATGATAAAAATATATTTGTCAACTTTCTCATTTATAATTGTTAATTAAGCTCCCTTCCCTCCCAAGTCTGCATGCCTTGCTCATTGCATCTATGACTAGGGCATGCTTATCCCTTAGACGACACCGTTTGGGGGATAAGACCCGTCCACCCTTTTTTTGGGTAAATTTTTTAATTAATTTTTATTTTTATTTATTTGGGTTAAGTCTGACAATACTCTAAAATATTTTTTTAGAAGTGTCTAATATTTTAAATTGACTAATTTTTAGTCTATTCAGTATCCTAAAATATATTTTTAGGAGCATTCAGTATTTTAAATTTATTTTTTAGTGTATCTTGTATTGAAAAATATTTCATCAACAGCATTCGATATAGGGGTGTTTACGGGACGGGACGGGACTGGGACAGGCCCGTCCCGGTGAACAGGGACGGGACAAGGATTTTGTCTCGTGTCCCGTCCCGTCCCGGTTCTGTCCCGGTCCCGACATCTCGCTTCCCCCTTTTTAAAAAAAAAACTATAATTTTTTATATGAATTTTTTTATGTTCTAATACTTATTTTTTTGGGCTTATAAAGATAAAAAATATTATAAAAAAATATTACGTAGAAAACTCAATTATATAGCATAAAAAGTGTATAAAAATAATATTGTAAAAAAAACACTATATAATGACTTTGTGAATTATTTTATTAAGAAAGGAGATTTTGTTGAAATAATACTACAATTTAAGAGCTACAAATCACCATAAAAACAAGAGTTATTATTAATAAGTAAATTAAATAATCTAATAATAATTATTAATAAATAATTTTTAAAAGAAAAAAATCCCGGAACGGGACGGGACAGGACCCCGTCCCGTCCCGAAATTTTGTTTGTCCCGTCTCGAACTCACCGGGACCAGGACGAGAGAACGGGACAGATTGAACACCCTTAATTCGATATACTAAATTAATTAATTTTTATCTTAAAATATTATAAACTTATTGAATTGAACTTAATAAAAAAATTTAAAAAAAAAAAAAAGCGAACAACCCCCCAAAAAAAAAAACACAAAAACCCCAAACGGTGCCGTCATGCGGATTTCCCACGCCTTGACTGAGCCAAACACGCACTCATCAATCTGATACGGGCGCGGCGGTGAAGACAGCGGCCAAGACCAACAAGTCTATTTCGTTCGCTTTCCAGATTCACTTCTTTGTCACTTCAATGTATACTTTACTAACTATCTTCTTCGAATTCAAATAAGTTTTAATTTTCCTATTACAGAGTGGGTTTAGTTACTATCTTCTTCGTTCGCTTTCGGGTGGTGGAAGGATTCTGGTCCGACGGCTCTAGTTAACGTGGAGTTCAAAGACGCTGAGAAGATGCTTCCACGCACAAGAGAGAGTTGCGAATAATGTGATTTCCCTAGCGATATTCGAGTGTACCTAATGATTACGATAGAATATCACGATCCTTTCGTCGTGTTGTAGTACTGTACAGGAGAAGCTGAAAAAGACATTGGTCTTCTTATGAGAAACGGTATGATATTTTGTTCCTTGCAGCTTTTTATTGCTTCAAGATGCCTGTAGTGACTAGTGAGGTGTTGGAATTAGAAGTTTCTGAAATCTGCTGAGTGTTGCAAGCTGGGGATCATGGGCGGTAAAATTTTGATGAAATGGCCGAAGCAAATTACAGCTGGTCTAGTTGAGCAGCTAATAAAAGCAGAAAGGGACATACATAAAGCTCTTGTGATATTTGATTCGGCAACGGCTGAGTATCATAATGGGTTCCGTCATGATCACAATACTTTTGGTCTCATGATCTCTAGGTTAGCCTCCGCGAACCAGTTCAGATCAGCCGAAGGGATGCTTCACAGAATGAAGGAAGAAAATTGTACGGTCACGGAAGATATATTATTAACCATTTGCAGAGCTTATGGACGTGTTCATAGACCCCTTGATGCCATCAGGATTTTCCGTGGGATGGTAGACTTTCAGTTAAGACCCACCCAAAAATCCTATATTACAATATTTGATATCCTAGTAGAGGAAAACCATTTAAAGATGGCGCTTAGTATTTATAGGGAGATGAGAGAAATGGGCATTCCACGAAGTGTTGTTTCTCTGAATATTTTGATCAAAGCACTGTGCAAAAAAAATGAAACAATTGATGCTGCTTTACGGATATTTTGTGAGATGCCAGATCGAGGATACCCACCAGATTCTTATACATACGGTACTTTGATTAATGGGCTGTGTAGACAGGGAGAAATCGCCCCCGCAAAGGATTTATTCCATGAGATGAGGCAGAAAGGCCTTGCACCTTCTGTTGTTACCTATACTTGCTTGATACGTGGAATGTGTCAGTCTAATAATGTGGATGAAGCTATGAAATTATTTGAGGAGATGAAGAGAACTGACATCGAACCAAATGTTTTTACTTACAGTTCTCTAATGGATGGTTTATGTAAAGGTGGTCAATCTTCTCAAGCAAAGGAGCTGTTAGATATGATGGTCAAAAAACATCATTTGCCTAACATGGTTACTTATAGTACATTAATTCACGGACTGTGTAGTGAAGGAAAGCTTAGCAAAGCAGTGGAGGTTCTAGACAGGATGAGGCTTCAAGGTTTAAAGCCAGATGCAGGGCTGTATGGGAAAATCATAAGTGGCTTCTGTGACGTAGGCAGGTATCAGGAAGCTGCAAACTTCATCGATGAGATGGTGCTTAGTGGTGTCTCACCTAACCGAGTAACTTGGGTCCGTCATGTGAAAATCCATAACATGGTGGTCCAAGGCCTATGCAACAACATTGATCCAACACGTGCTTTTCAGTTGTATCTCAGCATGCGCACTAGGGGTATCTCTGTTGAAGCTGGTACTTTTGAGTGTTTAATTAAATGCTATAGTAAGAAAGGAGACGAGCACAAAGCTGCTCGCATTCTTGATGAGATGGTGTTAGACGGTTGTGTTCCAGATGAGGGAATCTGGAATGCAGTGATGAGTGGACTTTGGGATCGAAAGAAGGTGAGAGAAGCTACTGAGCTCCTGCTGGCTGGGCTGATGCATGACTTTGTTGAACCTCAAAGCTGAATCTTTATAAACTTTTGGTATGTGACCATTGCTGCATTCTCACTAAAACCTTTAGCAGTATCCTCTCCTTCCCTTCTGGGGAAAGGAGAAAAAATGCAGAATTACTTAGATGTCAATTAAAAGGGATATGGAAAGTGTTTGAACAGAAAGCTTGTTAATCGCCTCCATGACTTGTCATATTTGCGCAAAGGCTGCTGAAGGCATTTATGACAATCGTGACATATAGATTGCAATTAGAAACAAGTTATTTCCCTAATGCTTTGAGTTAGTTGCGTAATTCAATTCTTTGCTAGGATATGCCTCTAGAAGTCATAAAATTTTTAAATTTTATACAAATGTTTGTATTCCTTTTTAATTACTTGATCTTGTGATCTTAGAGGTTTTTTCTTCCTTAAAATACTATTCTATTTTTAGCTTGTATAATTTTGATTGACCAAATCTTTTGCTGACCCAAGCTAACTGTATCTGCTTCTTTCTCATTGAGCATAAGCTGACATGCTTTTTAACTCCTAGATCCCTTTTCTCTCTTTTCCAATGGTTAATGTCTCCTGATGAAGTGATGATTAGAGCCTTCATGATTTGTAAATAAAGCTTCAAATTGAGGAATTGGGTATGCAAGACTTTCAAACGGGCTCCCTTATGACCAACTCTTGCCTATAGATTCACTCTTTTCTTTTGCAGACACTTTCTTATTTCTTTCCCAACCTCCTTAAAAACTCTGGTGATGAGCCTGTTTGGAGGGAGGTATTTGCTAGAGTCGTTGGGCAAGGTAAGCTCTATGATTTGTGCGGTCTCCTGCTTCATTCAAAGCCATTACTCATGATTGAAGTTCTTTGCCTATGCACTGTAAACTTTTCAGTCAGGCGCTGTAAATTTCCTAAATCAAAGCATGCGTTTTTCACCCTTGTTCTTCATTTATTCAATTATTGCATTGTTGTTGAAGTTTTTTATTTATGGATTTCTATGTCTATGGCCTAAGAGAATTTCTCTTTTATTATGTTGAATTTAGGGTTAACATGATATTTTTAAATGGTTATGTTGTATTCATCCAATAACAAAAAATTGAACAAGTCAATTATTCTTGCTAGATAAGAAAATGAATGCCACTCCCCAAAGCATGGCCACACTGCACATGGAGTGGAGGAGAGAGGGGGCAGGGGGAGAATAAATTGATTTGCAATGGGTTTATTTATGGCTTCAATGACTTGTCTTCCACTAGATAACACGTGAAAAAAAATCTTAGCGTAGATGACCATATCTGTTAATTTGTTCTTTCATTTCATCTTCATCTCTGTTGATCTACTTAACAAATTTGGATTGATTGGTACTTAGAGCTAAAAGTATGAGTGCCCTCCTCGCACAATCTAACACCTTTTCCACATGTGATTGATTGCCAAATTCATCTTAACTTTGCAGGCTGTCCTTAGTATTTTGAATCGTTTTCCAAAATTTGTCCTCTAAATTTTAATGGTGGCATCTTTTCATCTTGTTTTCATGTGAAAGTAATTTTTCCAGGCCTTGTAAATTTCAGGTATGACGGAATATCTAGATTGTTACTGCTGACTTTGGGTGATTTTTCTTCATGTTGATGTGGTATTTAACAGTGGATTCTAATAGATGTGCCCAAATTGTTATTATAAATTTAACCGGAAAATGGAAAGGAGAGAAAATAGCCTGCTTATGGTGATTTGAAACACTTTGTTATAAATCGTCGTCTGTTAGCATTACTGTTTTAGAGGTTCACCTGCTTTACACCCCATTCCCAAAAAAGTTTTTAACAAAAAAAGTTTGTTGAAGGTGAAGCTCTGCTTCAACTTGAAGGAGAGTATGTTACCTTTCATTGCTGCTGCATCAATTTCTCACTGTAACTTACGTGGTTTTAGCCTTCCCAGATCATATGACATATTGTGCTTCTGCCGCAGGTAATATATTTTCCTTCTCATTGCCAAGTCACAGTTTCCTCTTGCTCCACCCTAGATACATATTTGGAGACTTATTCTACCTCTGTGTATCTAAGTAGGATCCCATATATGTAAAACTTCCCTGACAATCCCACATTAATGTTTCAGTTGAAGTAGCATTTGGCATATTATTGTCTTGTTTCATATAAGTGATAGTACTTTGATTCTATGGTTAATTGGAAATTAGATAGTTGTGAAACAGAGATCATCCTTATTTTCTGGTCCTTTGCAGGATATAGAGCTCATTTGGTTTAGCTTAATTTGAAGGAGGAAATATTTCTAAAAAAGTAAATAAAAGTAAGTAGGTGTGTTAGGATAAACCTTTTCAGAAATGGACGAGCACTTGGAAAAAGGCCCTTTGGTTCTCCAGAAACCACTTTTTTCTGGCTTACAAAAAGGAGCACTTTTGTTAGCTAGTACTACAATCAAAATAAAAGGGAAGTAATGTCTCGTATTCATGAATTTTGTTTTTGACATAACTTTCGCTTTGTTCATGTTCGTCCCCATGTGACATTTTCAATGATTTTGTATCCTCACCTGTGATTATAATTTTATAAATTTGTACTATCCTTTGAACTGCAAATCATTTCAGTACTCAATTAGACCTTTGAATCAACTCGTCTTTATAGACAGTAGGATATATACTGCTTAGCCAGTGGTCCTTACTGAATCCCCAGGGCTCCTCATTCTATCGCATTCCTTTTTCTTTTGCCATCGTCCATTCCTTCAATGTTTCCCAGATTAGTTGAGGAGAGCTGAACTTTGGCATGGAGGTCTCAGGTTGTTCCCCTCATTCTTTGCCCAGTGCATCACTTTATATGATGGCAGGCTGTATTGCATTTGCATGGTATACTTGTTGCCTTTGAGAATTGAATGTGCTTTGATTTGCTGAGTGAGAGTGCATTCTTCTCTTTGGCATGCTCCTGGCTTTCTTGAGAAGACCAAACTGCCTTCTTTTCTTCAGATATTTTCTGCGTGTGTAGACTTTCCAAAAGGAAGAGCCGGTGTTGATCTTTTTTTCTTTTCTTTTTTTTTTCAAATAGATTATCTATTCAGAATGGTAATATTTATGAGAGGAAGATTAAGTTTAATGCTTTGCATTAGTCTATATTAATGACTGCCTACATTATGTCAAAAAAAAAAAACCTTTTTTCCCCTTGGTCTTCCGATAATTGATTATTATCATTTTGTTTTAGTCATTCGTTTGTTTGGGATTCGAATTCTTTATTTGAAGTATGGGATTCTTAGATAGGACTGATTGAAACATGGGTTCTCTAACTTTTTAGGCGTATCATCTCCGTTGTAGATTTCTCAAATGTTCCTATGACAAGCCTTTTGAATTTGAGTCACTTAAACGTGGCATGCAAATTACAAAATTTCACGAAGATTTCAGGTTCCAACGCTTTCTTGCATGGCGGATTTGTCCGCCTCAGAGCTTCCATAAAATCTTCAACATCTGATATTGAATTCTTCTAACAACAGAGTATATCAGAAGGTTGTATATTCTATACCTTCTAATGCATTCTATACTGTGCAATTCTTCTGACTATTGTATAATTTACTCCAACATACAAATCTATAAAAATAGCTTTGTGGATGTGAGTTTAATAACCTGTCAAATGCCTGAAAGTGGCTCCAAAAGGCAACATACAAAGATTCAAAAAGGAACTCCAAACTGTTAATTTGTGGAAAGGGGAAAGCCAATTCCATGTCTCTGTGTAGGAAATACAACAAACAACATGCTGCAAATAACGCCGATGCCCACAGGCAATGCCGTGAGGACCTCTTGTGTTTGATTTGATGGCTCCGGAAAGAAGCAGTTAACCACATTCTGATCAAACATTGCAATTGCAGCAAATACTAGTACAGACATTACTGCATGCATGAAATCTATAAACCTTAGGCGATATTTTGCCGCAAGTTCAGGTGGAAGTGTGGTCAATCCATCAATGACCCACAAGCCACTGAAGGTGGCGAATCCATAACATATGTTCCCCTTGTTGTCTCTGAAGCTATCAGTGAAGCATAGCAGGAAGCATGAAGCTCCACAGAGAGCTACAAGTCCTGCAGTCATGAACTGGCTCACAGAGTCACAGGTTCCAAGATTTGTGAAGATTGGTGACAGAAGCTGGAAAGCAAGGACCGAACCGGTAGGCAATAGATTGGCTAAATGAGCCGAGCTCTGGAATGTCTGGTTCATGGCTTTCTGAATCAGGTTCCTCTCGGCTTCCGGCACCACCATGTTTAGCAGAAGTGGGAGTTTTTCTTCATCATGTTCCTTAGAATCACCAAGTCCGAATTTGATCCCCATCACATAAAAGGCCTTTTTTATTCACTTGCCTTTGTGTATTCTGTTCTGATCTGATCTAATCACTTCTGTTCTGCAGCATAGTTTTGTTGAAAAGGAATCTCTATATAGTTAGGGCAGAGATGAACCATGGAAGTAAAACTAGAGAGAGAAGGGAAGCTTGTTATGCCTTGCAAGAAACAAACTGAAAACTCGATGAAATCAGCGTTCACTGCAATCTTGTTTTGTGGTTCTGAGCTCATCATGCCTTGCAAGTTATATGTTGCTCATTTAAGCATACCAGAAAATGCCAGATATGATAATTCTCAAAATATAATGCTTGGATATGATATACTGCCTCCGATCCTAATTATAAGACCTCGTTCTTATAATTAAAACCGGAGGTAGTAATATTTATTGTTTTTGTTGTTCTTGAGCCAATTAAGTTTTAATTTAGATTCTTAAACAAAACTTTCAGTTTCAGAATTAGAAGCATGAACTGAAATTTTGTTAAATGATATTTCACCATGATCCTATGGTTCTGTGGAGGGATAAAAATTACTCAAAAGGACGAACCCGTTATTTTGCCATATGATGCATATATTACCTTTATGTAACTCATGTTTACGTTTTCTGTGTGCGCGCGCGTGCAGGGTGTGTGTGTTCAGTTATTAGCTTTTGAGAATTGAAGTTTGGCTTTGCAAGAAATGGTTTGCTGAGACGCAATGACTTGGGGGAATCTTGCTGCTAACGATACCAAGATTAGATTATTTTTATTTGACGACAATTATTCTATTGTAAGTTTTAATTTAACTTTTATATTTTTAATTTTAAAAGAACTAAAAGTAAAAGTAAAAATAAAAATAAAGTTTGATTTTGAATTAAAGGATAACTCAAAAAATTAAAAATAAATTTAATTTTTTCTCCATTATAGAAATTTGAATTAGGAAAATGCTGAAGTAAAGTATGTCCTCTCAAATATTTTGTCACTGTAATTTAATACTAATATTATATCAAATAACGTTAGAAGAGTAATTAGGCAAAATTTTACCTTTATTTTTTTGACTTTACAATAAGTTTCAATTTATTTCTTTAATTTTAAAAAGCATCTTTTCAGTAATCTAACCCTAATATCATCAATTCCAAATGATAATTTTTATAAAAATTATCGTTATTTTAAAATTGAATTTAACATGTTAGTAGTTAATAATATTTAGTCAATGTTTAAAATATATCACATTTTTCATTAATAGCATTAAGAGTCAAAAGGTTTAAAAAAAACACCTTATAAAAATTAAGAAAGCAAAATAAACTCAAGTGTGCACTTTTGTCGTAGTATTATCATTTCAATATTCAAAAAAGATGAAATCACTTTTATTTCGTTCAATTGTTAATCATAGACTCCACCACTATTTAATTTCCAAAAAAGTATAATTTATTTATCTTTTTCATTTCATTTCAAATATTATTTAAAAATATTTTAACTTCTTAATGAAATTATATTTGAGATTTCCTTAAATACCAATTTTTTTGAAGAAAAGAGAACATGATCATTAGATTTTATTAATATACCTTCTTTAGTGACATGGAATTCATTATTACAGCATTCCTTAAAGCAAATCAAAATAAAACAAAAGGTAATATATTAAAATAAAATAGAAATTTTAAAAAACAAGTAAGTATTTCTTATAAAATTAGGTTAACGTTACAAAGGGAAATTCAACTATTTTGTCATGCTGGACTTATATCTTATCATTGGAGTTCAAAATGAAAGAAACTTCAAATGTTAACTTAGCCCAATTATTAAAAGTCTCTCATGTTTGATGGGCTTGCACTAAAATCTCAACCTTACAACTTGGCTCAGATTGGTCCAAAATTTGGTATGGCGAGGTAAGATGGAAAAAATCCCCATTTTTCAACTTTTTGAACAATATTTTGTTTTATAAAGGATTAGTTTTTCTTGAAAGTGATTAAATCCATGCAAGGAGAAAAGGCAAACACAAATGTTCAACGGCAATTGGACCAGAATTGTAACGTCACTTTCCAAGACTTGGGCTTGACTCGGGTCATTTTCTTATTACAAAAATATTTATGCATGACTTTTAAAATTGCGTCTAATTCTTATCTAGTGGACTAAGATGCAACGTTATCCTTATGGTTAAAAATATTAATAATCAGTGTCAATATTAAATAACCAATATTATTTTTTTAATAATAAGATACAACATTACTATAATTTTAAACTTATAGGATAACGTTAAATTCCAAAAAAACTTTCGGGATATTAAGTGAAAAACTTCTTAAATAAATTTGTACCTTGACCTATTTTTAATCAATGAAATTATATTTGCTGATGAAAATTTCAGCAATTAAAAATATAATGCAAATTGAAGCATTAGTTGAGCGCCATTCATGCTAGCTTTGATCAAAGAGTAAATTTTGGCCAACAAATGAAAAAGATCAAAGAGTACATGGATTTGCTAAATCATAAAATATAGCCCTTTTTTAATCAAACCTATTTACTTTCGTTTGATTATGATAATTAATTAATTAATTAATTAGGATATATAATTCTATAATCAAAGTGACGAACTTTATGTCATTGACTAATTTCCCAACAACCCCAACCACAGCCCCAACAACTTTAATTCAAACTGAAACAAGGCTTTTTTAACTGTACTTGGTAAAATATTGATACAACACACACATATTTGCTCCTAGCCTAAACGTGTGAGAGCTAGTTAAGAAATTTATTTTTATTTTAAGTGTAAGATCTCAATGAATTCACATTATACTTTCTTTGGTCCTTAATATAAGAGTTAGTTTGATTTTTATTTTGGTTTTAAATATAAGATCCTAATTTACTTTTATCTCATACAATGTATGATCTTAAATTTATAAATTTTTTTCAAATTTTCTCTATTGATTATATATATTATTAAAGGACTAATCTAAGAAAAAACACATTTATTTTTTATTTTTAATATTCATAAATTAGTTATCTAATTCTTATACTTAGAAGTAGCATAAATATTATTTTAAAAAAAATAGTCTAGCTTTGTATATTTATGCTGTTCATTTTTTTAAAAAAAAATTTGGTTATACCAACAGATTTTAAGAGGCGACATTACACCTTGAATAATTAAAATTAAGTTAAATCAAACCATATAAGTGGTATGATCTAATTGAATGATAATTTTCTTCATATGCAGGACTCGGATCTAAAACATTAGTTAACTAATAAAAGGAAGCAACGACTCGATTGGACCAACTTTGATTAGTATTTTATTCAACTTATAAATAAAAATGATGTTTCCTTGCATTTGTTTTTTGAGGTTTCGTAAATGGATATTATCAGTATAGGACTTTACTTACCAATGGACAAATAAATTCTTTTACAAAGAATTAATGATGAAAGTAATAAATGAAATAAAAATAGAGTGAATATCATCAAATATGGTAAAGTTAGAGAAAAACCAATCACATAATGATATATATATATATATATATATATATAGGTTTAGTTTAATTCTTTTAACCTGCGTTTAGTTCCCAGAAACAATTTCGGAGAGTTTTATTATATTCTTCAAGAAATTTTTAGTGTCTCAATATAATATCAAACTTGTAGGTCTGTTATTATCACACAAAAAAAAACTTTTAAATCTATTACTCAACTTGCCTTACGCTAAGTAAGCCCACTTGAGAATGCATAACAGCATATCATTAATTATGAAAATGACATTTTTAATGTATAAGAAATTTAAAAATAATTATGAGTTAATATAATCTTTGATCCTTCAAGTTTACTCTCATTTTAATTTTGGTCTTTCAAATTTCAAACTATAAATTTTAGTCCCTTAAGAAGTAAAATAGTTCAGGTTTTTATTAGATTATAGATATTAATATTTTAAATAAAAATAAACTTGAGGAACTAGAACCAAAATTAAAATTAAGACAAACTTGAAGAACCAAAATTTGTATTAATCCAGTAATTATTTATGCTTCTTATACCAACATTTTAACTCAGAATCCCAACATTACATATTGGAGGGCTCACTATGAGACCACATTTTATGCTAGTTGAAACAAAAATTATTTCAAAGAAATAATGGCTAAATTAATTTCATTTTTTTTCTAACTTATGCTTGAATGAACCGTGAAATGATAATATCAATATCAATATTTGAAAAGTAATTGTCGCCATTGAAATCATTTTCATGCTTAAACTTTTTATATTCATATGCCAAAACAAGATCATTTCAATTTCATTAAAAATTTTCAATAATAAAGCATACAATAATAATATTTAAAATTTATTAGGAGAGAATAAAAAGGAAAACAGTCATTAATATATGCGCTAATATTTTAGTTATGTATCAAAATAAAAGGCCAGCCACTATAAAGTGTTTTGTCAAAAAGGTAAGAAAAATTACAAATTAAATGAAATTTAGTTTTATTCGACCTTATAATCAATTATCCTAATAATTCTTTAATTTTCTTGTTTTCTTTTGACTCCAATTTTTTTTTTCAGGGGAATCTTGAGAAAAACAAGAACTTTTTAGAATGCAGAATCTGGTCCTACGGGTTTGGTAGCTTTGAACATGTGTTGATTTTTGAATTGTGAACAGTTCATCCAAACCCAACCAAAAAGTGATTTTGTAAAGTTATTTTGAACCTCTAAACAATCATTATCATTCTAAATTCAATTATGTTCGAAAACAATTTCATTTTTGTAGGAAACAAATATTGAATTAATTACTTTTAAGATATGAGCTCTCTATCAATCTCTCAATCTCAGAAACCTACATGTGTTTGAGAATGATCCTTTATTTAATATTACATATGAATTAATCCTAATTTGAGTTATGCTAGAACTATTACTGCATGCAGAGGGTCATATATAAAAGTATAGTAGAATGTCCAAATTTTACATTAAAAAATGAATAATATAAAACTATATCACATACACTGTGCCTTTTCTACATTAGATATATACACTATGTATCACAAATGTATCACAAGACTCTAACTTCTTCGGCTGCAAACTTTTCAACAACGACTGATATTTCAAGGCCAATATAGATTCTTACAATATGCTTTTAAGATTTGCATGCAAGGTTGTCAAACTCGCGAGTTTAAACAAACTCGTGATAATAATGTGAACTCGGATCGTAAACTCGTAAGAGTTTATTTTTATTAATAAACTAATATTAAACGTATATAATCAAATAATTAATATATAAAAAATTAGAGCAGTTTCATTTAAATATATTTTAAATTTAAATATTTAAAATTATATCTATCAATGTTCATAATTTATCATATTCAACAAAGAAATTTCTATAAAAATCACATATAAAGTCACTAAACATAATCAAATTTAAAAATTTAGTACAAGTTTAAGAGCGAGTTGACACAATTTTGTAAGCTAAAAACGTAAAACAGTAAACTCGGCAAATGAACTCATAAGTTTAATCGAGTTTACAGTTCTCACGAGTTTAAGAACGAGTCAACAAGATTTTGTTAGCTGAAAACATAAAAACGTTAAATTTAGAGAGTTAACTCGTGAGTTTGACAACAATGTTTGCAT